TTAACCGCAATGTCAGCCGAGGTAAAGATGTCAGCCGAAGTAAATGAGGTAACATTAATGGCGAGGGCCGAGCTGTGTATAGCTCGGCAGGGTGACATTTGATAGATTGGCTTTCAATCACACGGTCCGAATGGCAGGGGACCGAGATAAGGCAGTTCGGTCTGGAATGTATAACTGAGGTAAAGGGTTCAGCCATCTCACTTGGCTTGCAGTGATGAGACTCCTAGTAGGACTCTGCTAAGGAGAGTTAGAGTCCTACTGGAATTGTGCAAACCATCTCACTTGGTTGGTAGTGAGTAGGGTGTGTGATTCCTAGGAGGACTCTCATAGGAAGAGTTTGAATTCTACTAGGATTGTGCCAAAGTAAAGTCTATAAAAGCTCATGACCAGACATTTGTACAGGTATTCCAATTCTTACTCTAGAATACACAGAGCTTATTGTCTATTGTCTAGTTGCTGACTTAGGCATCGGAGGGGTTTCCGGCACACACCCGCTGGTTAGCTCACGTTTATGTTTTTAAGTAGCAAAGCAACATTGTTTGGAGGAGCACAAACTTGATCAACAGGATCATACGAGAATAATTATTTCGTGCTCGTACAATTGGCGCCGTCTGTGGGAATTTCACAAAGAGCAAAACCTCTTGATCAAGTTTTCCTCTCTAGTTGAAAGCAATGACGCACAATGAAGACTTACCGCAACCTACTATTGATGGGCAAACACCGGAAGGGGGTGGGAGACGCGAAGGTTTACCTTCTATCCCACCCATGGCGGAATTAGATCCCCAGCGAAGGAATTCGCAAAGAGAAGCAAGAGAAAGACAGGGCTCGAGTCCACACCGCTCTCAAAGCCCTGATAGACAGAGGCAGAAGATGGATCCTCAAGTTCTTGAAGATCGCGTAAAGGAGCAAGACAAAGTAATGAGAAGAATGGCGGCTGACATAGAGACGATGAAGCACCAGATAAAAGGCAAATGGGTGGCAACAAAATAGGGGCGCAATGGCAACACACACTCTTGCCACTCAGGAGATCGTGACAGACAAGTCACACCATCACAAGCTGAAAGAAAAAGCCTTAAGTCGGGCGATACACAATCAAAGACTTCCAGGACACCCTACTCTAGGCCTGAGAGAATGAGGACTGAAAGGGCTCGAAAGAGAGAAGACACTCAGGCTCGCGACCCCTGCAGAGTTTCTGCACTACAACGATTGGTTCCTAGAACACATGGGAGTGCCGAGGTAGGAATACCAGAGCTGCGCCTTGCCTATGAACCAGCAGACAAAGTGTTAGCAAGGTTGCAGAGCTCGCCGTTCGTTCTGACAATTGAGGATGCACCATTACCCTTAGGCTTCCACCAGCCTAAATTCACTACTTATAAAGGGAAGTTGGACCCCTACATACACTTGAGCCACTTTCGCTAGGTTATGGCCGTGTATTGGCGAAACGAGGCTTTGATGTGTATCTTTTTTCCTTCTAGCCTTGGTGACATGGGTTTAACATGGTTTGAAAGGTTGGCAGAAGGCAGCATAGTTTCGTGGGCGCAACTAGCGGAGGCATTTGTGACCAGATTCAGAACGAACACCAAGACACCAGTGGAGATTGACCAGCTTCTCTCCATAGACATGGGCGAGAAAAAAACATTGAGGTCTTACAATAAATCGGTATTGGGAGACTTTTAATCAGATTGGAGATTGCCCAACAAACCTAGCTATCGCACAGTACAAACGAGGTTTGCCGGCTGGCAATAAGTTGAGGGATTCAATGACAATGATGCCGTCCCTTACTATGGAAGCCCTAATGAAGAGAGTGCACCAACACATCCGGGCAGAGGAAGATGGGGCGTGCACCAAGGCAGAGTTTGGCGCAATAGTGATACCAGACAAAAAGCTTTTTGGCCAGAGTTAACACAGTTGACAAGTAGGATTAACCGCGCAAAAGTCTTTGCCCGACTGGGGGGCAATTAGGAAGGTTGACAGGATTGGCCAACTCTTTCTAAATAAGTCTTTGCCCGACTGGGGGGTAACAAAAAAGGTTGGCAGGTTTGACCAACACTTTTTTATTTCCTTAGCTGATGATAAGGATCTAGGCAACAGGACGTTTAACAGGAATAACCAAACACTTCGCTCTAAGTTGGCAGGAATAACCAATTTTGAGCTCTCTTCAGCTAAGATCAGGATCTGGGCTTCCTAAGCTGAGGATAAAGATCTAGGCTACAGGACGTTTGGCCGAAATAGCCAAATACTTTACTCTAAGTTGGCAGGAATAACCAACTTTGGGCTCTCTTTAGCTAAGATCAAGATTTGGGCTGAAGAGATTGGCTGGAAAAACCAATACTTACTTTTCCTAAGTCGAGGATAAGGATCTAGGCTACAGGACGTTTGGCCGGAATAATCAAACACTTTACTCTAAGTTGACATGAATAACCAACTTTGAGCTCTATTCAACCAAGATTAGGATCTAGGCTGGAAAGGGTTGGCTGGAAAAACCAACACTTTGTTCTCTTCAGCCAAGATCAGGATCTAGACTGGAGAGGGTTGGCTGGAAAAACCAACATTTTATTTTTTTCAGCCGAGATCATGATATAGGCTGGAGAGGGTTGACAGGAATAACCAACATTTTGTTCTCTTCAACCGAGATCAAGATCTAGGCTGGAGAGGGTTGGCCGGAATAACCAACACTTCGTTCTCTTCAGCCGAGATCAGGATCTAGGCTGAAGAAGGTTGGCAGGTTTGACCAACAAATTTCTGAACTCTTTGGCCGAGATGATGGTTACCTCGGCCAAAGCAGGTTGGCAGGGTTATTGTAAACCGAGTTAGTCTACTCGGCGAGACACAGAAAGAACGACTCGACGTACGATTACAAACTCGAAGAATATATACGTTGTAGGCAAAAAAACAGGCCTATTCAAAATTTTGGCATGACGGTTGTAATAGGAGAACGGGGCTAATGAGGGCACACCACATGTCCTTGGGACAATGTCGTATCAGACATGCCAGATTAGTGGAATGACGTGCTGAGCAACTGACCAGACTTGTTGGGACTGAACGAGTTGTGAGACCGAACAAACTTCTCTAGTTCAGCAGAGTTGAGCGTTTTTAGCTTAGCTAGAGGAAAGTAATCCCAATCATGCTGCGCAGATGGAATTAAGGGGCAATTGAGAGGGTAATTTGTAAACAAATTGGGCCGAGCTAGGAAAGTCTTCTTTGGAAGTTGGGCCGCGCAATGGGCCAAGATAAGGGCTGGTGTAGCTCGGCCTTAGGCCAAGAAGACATCTCATATTTAGGATATGAGCCGTGGTGTTTGGGCTTCGCAAGTTGGACTGCGTCCTTGTTAGTTCGGTCAGAGACTGCTGCAGTTAGCTCTGTCTAAACAGACAAAATCGAGGTATCAGCGGGGGGAGAACCGAGCTAAAGGATAGCTCTGTAGGGCGTCATCTCAGAGTCAAGACTGACAGTGGTGCTTAAAGTATCACTGAGTCGAAATAACTTGGTTGACCGCAATGTCAGCCGAGGTAAAGATGTCAGCCGAGGTAAAGGAGGCAACATCAATGGCGAGGGCCGAGCTGTGTATAGCTCGGTAGGGTGGCATTTGATAGATTGGCTTTCGATCACATGGTCCGAATGCTAGGGGATCGAGATAAGGCAGTTCGGTCAGGAATGTATAACCGAGGTAAATGGTTCAGCCATCTCACTTGGCTTGCAGTGATGAGACTCCTAGTAGGACTCTGCTAAGGAGTGTTAGAGTCCTACTGGGATTGTGCAAACCATCTCACTTGGTTGGTAGTGAGTAGGGTGTGTGATTCCAAGGAGGACTCTCATAGGAAGAGTTGAAATTCTACTAGGATTGTGTCAAAGCAAAGTCTATAAAAGCTCATGACCAGACCTTTGTACATGTATGCCAATTCTTATACACAGAGCTTATTGTCTATTGTCTAGTTGCTGACTTAGACATCGGAGAGGTTTCTGGCACACACCCGCAGATTAGCTCACGTTTGTATTTTCAGGTAGCAAAGCAACATTGTTTGGAGGAGCACAAACTTGATCAACAGGATCATACGAGAAGAATTATTTCGTGCTCGTATAGATAACCAAACACATTTCTGAGAGTTTTTTTGAAAAAATGTGTTTAGTTTGATTACTCTTAAAAAAGTATTTGTGGAGTGTATTTCCAATTTTTTTTTTTCCAAAATCAAACCAAACAAAGCCAAAATTTCTCTAAGTGTGGGTTTTGAAAAAATATGTACACTAAGGCCTTATTTGGGAACTAAATATTTTAGTTAAAAAGTTAAAAAATTATTATATTATTCTCTCAATTTTTTTATATATTTTTTTTATAAAAAATTAAAATAATATATTCCCAAATAAAGTCCCTGAAAACTTAGGGTTGGTTTGAGATGTCCTAAAAAAGTGCACTTTTTGACTTATTGGTGGGTTTGGGTTGGGTTTGATGTGATGTGTTAGAGAAGTGATGTGATTTAAATATGATAATGTGACTTAAATAAGATAGTGACTTTTTGACTTTTTGACTTATTTAGTACATGCCAAACTAGCCCTTAATGTGGAAATAGGAATTTCTCCAAACTCAATGCAACGAATGGCGATAGGGGCTCCTGAAATTAACCCCGTGAAGGGTACAATCGTCAATACAGACTAGTAGAAATAGATACCCTAATGACAGACTTTTCCCTTTAAATAGTGTCCGTTGCGCCCTCAATGAATTCAATCAAAGATCATGGGGGCGATTTCTGGCGAAGGTAATCCGCAATCGATTGAATTGATTTGATGAAATATCAGTCCATATTTACTTTGTTTTTCAATTTTTTTCTTTATTTTCTATAGCTTTTTATTAGATTTGAAACTGCGAAACTCCATAGATTTTTATGAATTCAATCGAAGATCTCATGGAGGCGAAGCAATGGATTGAATTGATTTGATCAAATCTCAGTCCATATTTACTCTCTTTATTTTCTAGGAGATTTTTATTAGATTTGAAACTGCGAAACCAACCATATGATGATTTTGGATTCAAATTCTCACGACGGTCGTCTGAGACACTTAAACAAGTGTCGTTTCTGATGTACTGTTCCAATATTTCTGATGGTTTCGGCTTCACTCTAGTGTTTTTGATTGATTTTTTTTTAACGTATTTTTTACGTATTTAATTATAGAGAGATAAATTGAAGATTTGGAGCGGGCATAGTGATGATAACAACATTATTCCGATTGTTTGATGAAAGGATAAAACACCTCCTACTCATTCTGAATGCTTGCTCTATCTCTATCTGTTTCTTCGATTTTGATTTCAACTTCACGTTTTTGTTTTTATTTTTTGTGAATTATATATACATTTTATAGCGCTTCTCTATCGTGGATAAAGAGATCAGATCTGTGAGAGGCACGATGAGGATGCACATTTGATGAGGTCTTAAGATCTATGAAATTTTTCTACATAAACTTTCGAAAGTCCTTTTCATTCTGAGTGCCTCCTCTTTGATATCTTTTGTTTGTTCCTGTGACTTCTTTCTGTATACCCTAAATTATATGATTTTTTGGTTTAAAAAAAATAGGGAAACTCAAAAGGAGGTTTGTAGCACTAGATTGTTTGGCAATAAGAAGTTTAAGTCAACAAAAAAATATATATCTAACTTTTTGTTAAATTTGAAGCCGCAAAGATGTTAAGAGATTTTTAAAAGTTTTATGTAAATTTTTATTTGAGTCCCCACTCAATTAAGACATTGATAAAAAATTTAGTAAAAATTTTGGGTTTACTTTTGAAGTCGAATGTTTGGTTTCTACACAATCCTGAAATCTATTTTCCAAAAGGGTTTCTTCGTCTCCTTTGGGGGGAAGAAGACAGAAGAAAAGTTCTTGAATTAGGGTTGGTTTTGAATGATCTAAAAAAGTGTATTTTTTGACTTATTAGTTTATATGAATTGACTTTGATGTGATGTACTAAACAGGTGATGTGATTTAAATAAGATGATATGACTTAAATAGAATAGTGACTTTTTAATTTTTTGTATTATATAGTTTATGTTAAATCAATCCTTGATCTTCAATCAGTGAATCAGCTAAAAAAAGAAAAATCTTCAATCAGTGAACATTTCTAATGTAGTAGGGTTATATAAAATATTGTTTCATTTGTTAAAATTATATCAAATTGCAGTAGTTTACACAGCTTTAATTGTTAATTGTGATTTAAATTTTAAAATTTAAATTTCGTCAATTGAAGTGACAGACAAGTCACACCATCACAAGCTGAAAGAAAAAGCCTTAAGTCGAGCAATACACAATCAAAGACTTCCAGGACACCCTACTCTAGGCCTGAGAGAATGAGGACTGAAAGGGCTCGAAAGAGAGAAGACACTCAGGCTCGCGACCCCTGCAGAGTTTCTGCACTACAAAGGTTGGCTCCTAGAACACATGGGAGTGTCAAGGTTGGAATGCCAGAACCGTGCCTTGCTTATGAACCAACAGACAAAGCGTTAGCAAGGTTGCAGAGCTCACCATTCATTCTGACGATAGAGAACGCACCATATGCTCAGGCTTTCACCAACCCAAATTCACTTCTTATGAGGGGAAGTCAGACCTTTACATGCACTTTCGCCACTTTCGCCAGGTTATGGTCGTATATTGGCGAAATGAGGCTCTAATGTGTATCTTGTTTCCTTCTAGCCTTGGTGACCTGGGTTTAACATGGTTTGAAAGGTTGCCAGAAGGTAGTATAGCTACATGGGCGCAACTAGCGGAGGCATTTGTGACCAGATTCAGAACGAACACCAAGACGCCAGTGGAGATTGACCAGATTCTTTCCATAGACATGGTTGAGAAGGAAACATTAAGGTCTTACAATAACCGGTATTGGGAGACTTTTAATCAAATTGGAGATTGCCCCACAAACCTAGCTATCGCACAGTTCAAACGAGGTTTGCCGGCTGGCAATAAATTGAGGGATTCAATGACGCTACACCATTTTCTTGAATCTTCCATTGCATTTCAATAATTCTCCCCAAACTTATGCATCTGAGTTTGGATACAGCTTGTATGCTTATCTGTGGATATTGTGGTTATACATATCTGTTGTAGAGTGTGGGTACAGCTTGTATGCTTATCTGTGGATATTGTTGATATACATATCTGTTGTAGAGTGTGGATACAGCTTGTATGCTTATCTGTGGATATTGTTGATATACATATCTGTTGTAGAGTGTGGATACAGCTTGTATGCTTATCTGTGGATATTGTTGATATACATATCTGTTGTAGAGTGTGGATACAGCTTGTATGCTTATCTGTGGATATTGTTGATATACATATCTGTTGTAGAGTGTGGATACAGCTTGTATGCTTATCTGTGGATATTGTTGATATACATATCTGTTGTAGAGTGTGGATACAGCTTGTATGCTTATCTGTGGATATTGTTGATATACATATCTGTTGTAGAGTGTGGATACAGCTTGTATGCTTATCTGTGGATATTGTTGATATACATATCTGTTGTAGAGTGTGGATACAGCTTGTATGCTTATCTGTGGATATTGTTGATATACATATCTGTTGTAGAGTGTGGATACAGCTTGTATGCTTATCTGTGGATATTGTTGATATACATATCTGTTGTAGAGTGTGGATACAGCTTGTATGCTTATCTGTGGATATTGTTGATATACATATCTGTTGTAGAGTGTGGATACAGCTTGTATGCTTATCTGTGGATATTGTTGATATACATATCTGTTGTAGAGTGTGGATACAGCTTGTATGCTTATCTGTGGATATTGTTGATATACATATCTGTTGTAGAGTGTGGATACAGCTTGTATGCTTATCTGTGGATATTGTTGATATACATATCTGTTGTAGAGTGTGGATACAGCTTGTATGCTTATCTGTGGATATTGTTGATATACATATCTGTTGTAGAGTGTGGATACAGCTTGTATGCTTATCTGTGGATATTGTTGATATACATATCTGTTGTAGAGTGTGGATACAGCTTGTATGCTTATCTGTGGATATTGTTGATATACATATCTGTTGTAGAGTGTGGATACAGCTTGTATGCTTATCTGTGGATATTGTTGATATACATATCTGTTGTAGAGTGTGGATACAGCTTGTATGCTTATCTGTGGATATTGTTGATATACTTATCTGTTGAGAATGTGGATATAGCTTTTGTGCTTATCTGAATGTGAGATATAGTTTTTATACTTATCTGTGGAAATGATGATAGAGCTAGCATGCTTATCTGTTGAAAAGGGGAAAATGAAAAGTAATTGGGACTTGTAAGTCGTTGACATAAATATGTTATTTATGTGATTGTATCAGTGTTGACCAACTATCAATTGCTAATGTTTTAGTCATTGTCCATGGTTGGTTTAGTGTATTTCTACTGGGCTGTGGCTCACCCTATATGGGAATATCATTTTCAGGTGCAGGAAGCATGCCACCTCCAAGGACATAGCTGGGAGGCTAGTGGCGGACATAGTTTTGTCGTTTTACTGTTGATGTATTACATGTAATTTCAAGCCAAGGGCTTAATGTGTAAACGAGTTAGAACTCTTTGTTGTAACCAAGTGTTAACTTGGAAAGCTGTAAGCCCGTAGGGCATTTTGTTATGAGGTTAACATGTAATACTTATGTCTTGGAATTCTAATGAATGAAAGGAATGAGGTTAGTTTATATGTAAATGCGTGTCTTATCTGATGGGTTTAATGTTATTATTTTGAGGGCGTTACAGTTTCTGGAAAAAAATATTTAGTGAAGAATTTTTACATATCAACGTATAATTTAATTTGAAGAATGGGGTTTATAATTATTTTGTTACCAAGTGAGATTCATCTTTCCAAGCCACATCAATCAAATATTTCTAGTCCTCCAAGCTGACTCCAGTAGGTGGATAACTATAGGGGTCATCAACACGTTGTTCCTCAAGTTCGAGGAACTCTTGTTTCAAATTGGCCTCGTTTGGGAAGTGACTATTTTAGTAGGCTATTTCAGTTTTTGGCTATTTTAAGTAGGCTAAAATTTTTGTGTTTGGGAAGATGATTGGATTTTTTTGTGGTTGGATGTGATGTTTGTGAGAGAAAAAGTGAAATGATTATGGGTTTGATGTGATATTTTGTCATATTAGCTATTTTAGCCTATTTTATCTTTTTTGTAATTTTTAGCCTAAATTAGGCTATTTTTTTTCTTCCCAAACACCCCAGTATATTTTCTTTTATTTTAGCGTATAAAAATTTATCATGTGACATGTACACAAGATTTGGACAGCAACTTCAATGTTCACATATATAATATAAATAGATATACAAAAATACTTAGGCCTTGTTTGATTTGTGTTTTGAAAAAAAATTTGAAAAAAATTATCTATAAATAAATTTTCAAAAGTAATCAAACCAAACAAATTTTTTCAAAACTTGTTTAGTTTTTAAATTTTTCAAACAAATCTCTCTCTCATACACATCAAATCAATCACTTTTTCTAAAACTCTCTCTCAAAATAATTTTTCAAAACATCTTTTGAAAAAAAATCAAACCAAACAAATTTTCGTATTTTTTATTTCAAAACATGTTTCTCAAATACAAACCAAACAAGGCCTAAATATTTTAAAAATTTTAAAAATTTTACAAAATCTTTTACCAATTATGTGTTTGGTTTGCATTTGGGAGATGAGTTTTAGAAAAAAATTTCTAAAAAATTGTTTGGTTGGAGTTTTTCTCAAAAAATTTTCAAAATCATTTTCTCTCTCTTACACATCAATCAATCACTTTTTCTTTCTCCTTTCTCCTTATCAATCGCTTTTTCTCACACACATCTACTCAAATTCTTCCAAAATATCAAATCATCCCAAACTCTCAAAAAAAATAACTCTCCCAAAATATACAACCAAACAAAAAAAAAAAAAAAAAAAATTTAAACCCACTTTCCAAAAAAATTTTAAAAAAAAAAAAAAAAAAAAAAGGAAACAACAAACAACCAAAATTCTAAGTACAAATTTTGTTCACACCAATCATTCCTCTTCACTTGAGGCGAGGTCTTCTTCTTCAACACCCTTGTCTAAGGGGGTCTGGGCCACGTCGTCTTCGTCAATCTTTACATTGCTGAAGTCTAAGTCTGGGAACAACTCTTCTGCT